TGAAAAGCTGACCAATTATATTTATTAAATAAAACATTGATTTGTTTAAACTATTCCAACAGACAAATTTGTTGAATCAAATAAAATTGAATAAGATGCAAATGAATTGAATAGAATTCAATGAAATGAAATTGAATTAAATATAATCGATTAAATCCAACGAAATCGTTCTCTCTGCGTGGGGGTTTTTGGAATATATTTTCAACAAATCTGACGTTTGTGACGAACTTGCGATATATTCGCGGATACATAAATTTATATGAAACAAGTGACATTCACTTACACGCGGTGTGTATTTCTTTTTGTGGACCGCGTCCTACGGCGGATTATGGGCCGATCGTTGAAATCAGATACGTGCTAATTGATAGGAAGCCGCGGCAAACAAGTGCGCGGCCGTAAACAAACCGTATTTATTTACCTTCCGGCCGTAATCCCCGCGTTAGGGTCATTTAATTCGACGCGTCAGCGTGGCCGCTCGTCTTTCCCGCTTCGAATTGTGAAACAAATTCACGCATCAATTGCAGCCGGCCGTATCAGCGACGGAACAATCGCGCTTATCTGCCAGGCGCAGCCTTCGCGTTGGGTTTCTATCGGAAAATGCACGCCATTAACGTACGTTTGTGGAGATCAGCGCGGTCTCGGCGCTATTAGGGACCAATAGTACGGACTGGCCGCGTTATAATATTCAACGCAAGCTGCGCCGATATATCGCGGCTACGGTAATTAGCCGATTTGATATCCGCCGGGTTTGTAATCCGAGCGGCTCCTTGCGCGTTTCGGGAGGCGCGACGGGGGTGCAGAAAGCGCGGACTTTCACGGGCCACTTCGGAATTTTCCTGTCCGACGTGAACGATAACGTCCCACAATAGCCGAGACACCGGATACCCGATGGAATTCTCGCGGCTCCTGTTTCATCGAATTCAATCCTACGGGATTTCTATTGGTCGCTACTGGGGAATGGAAATGTGTCAGGCCATTGGCTCCCGCTATTTGAATAGATTGGAGTGGAGCGGAGTGCAGGCTCGGTTAACGTGTCCTATCTACGCCCTATGGTCACCCTCTTCGGGTTTGACTGACGCTCTCTTTTGTTCGCCCGGCTGTGAAAAGACGCACGTAAGTGCGAGGAAAGAGAACACCGGGATAATTAAGGTAGGCGCCAAAGAGGGTTGGGAGGGACGAGAGATGAACGGCATATTCCCCGCATTCACGTTGCTCGTTATTACATAAAATCCTTGCGTCTCCCCGTTCGCGCTATTTGCTCGGCTAAATGATCCGTTTTATACCCGTGAATAATACAGCGTGCGCGCGCACACACACACGGAAGTTCGAAATATTACCTACAATTCTAAACCTCGGCGTTCTTGCTTGCTTGCTTTTTTTTTTCTCGCTGGCTATACGTTATACGAGAATATGGCGAAACTCCGCTCGCGTATAGCCGCGGTGTTAATGCGAGCGGAACTTTTTGGAAAGCGGGGTGTATATTTAGTCCGCCGAGCGAGGCTGGTGACATGGAAGTAACACGCGATCGATTGCGTTCGAGGGGGATGTAACTAACTCCACTTTACATAGGAAGCGGAAGTAGAAGTACTGCTAAGTGGATTAACGATTCCCTTTACTACGTCGTAAAAGATTAATATCGGCGATATTAATAAGATTAATAGGCGGGTCGGGACGGGATATAAGTGAAATTAGCGCGGCGCGTAATCGCGACGATTATTATCATCGTCAATATTTCACATGCTCCGTTTTTCACGATCCTATCGGGAAAAGAGAGAAGAGAAGAAATCGGAGGGAGAAGGAGGCCGAGCGTCTCTCGGGGGGTAAACAGGCGGACAATAATCTCCTCATCTGCTAACGAATGTAATTCGAAGAAAGGTGTACGCGCGACTGTGTGTGTGTGTGTGTGTGACGGGCCAACGGACAAAGTGAATTAGCTAGATTAACAAGTTAATCCGCCAGTTTTCCGACAGCCGGCTAATTTGTGAACGTGTGCATTCAACGGATATATATTATATACGACAGATCTCCGTGCCGGCGAGGTCTCTCGAGCGCGAGATTGGATGGGACTTGCTGGAGTAAGACGGAATCTCCCGGGACTCTCGGCCTACTCGATACATCGATTATCGATGAAATATACGTTTAGTAATTTTACGAACGGAAGAGAATTGGTTATCGGATCCGGCAGCAGGAATTATCGCGGCGTTAATATCTCTTCGAGTTCTTTCTCTACTGTTCTCTCTTTCTCTCTCTCTCTCTCTATCTCTCTTTCTCTCTCTCTTTCTCTCCTTTCGTCGGATTCAGTTTCTTCCTCGCAGCGATATTTGATATTGGAAGAAGAATCATAACGAGTAACGGTTCTAATGAACACTTCGTGCTTGGGGGACATTACGAGGATTAATTCTATCGGCGATCAAGCGGAGAGAATCGTATTAGAAGTCACTGCACTTGCGTGGAAGGACAGGATCGCTCGCGGTATGCTTTTAACCAGGGCGACGCGGATCAGCGAGACTTAACATAGTTATTGCGATCGTATAATCCTTTTAAAACCCACGGTTCCATGAACGTTATCTCACCCCTATTTCACCGTTGTCATCATATTTCACCGGAATGAAGGGAGGTGTTAATTAAAAAAGCATCTTGTTAATTAGAACAAAACGCAACTTGTTAAACGAATAAAAAAGAAGTACGCGTTTAACATGAAAATAGACACATTTTCGTTCCATTAAAAATATGAATTATGAATATAATGCGTTTTTAATCCATATTTCACATGAAATATATTATCGTCGTAAAATAAAATTCATTTGCAAAATTAATTTCAATGCGATATTAATATATATATATATATATATGTATATATATATAAAATATATAATTTTATATATATATACATATATATATATA